TCAAGATACCAAGTTAATCTATTATTCACAATACGTTCCATGGTTTTACAGACACAGCTAGTTAGAGATATCAGTCTGTAATTAGACGGATCTGTGTGATCCCGGCCAGGTTTTGGTATTGGGACTACAATGGCATTACGCCACGAAGGAGGAAATGCTCAAGACGTCCATATTTGGTCAAATATATTTAAAAGTGTCATCAGACATGGTTCAGGTAAGTGTTTCAGTAGCTGGTAATGTATATTATTATCACCCGCTGCAGTGTCATGAGCTTGCTCAAGAGCAGTATGTAGCTCATGTAATGAAAACACTTCGTTATAATCTTCACCGTTATTTGATTCGAAAGTTTTGTCTTTACCTGTTGTTTCTGATATCTCTGAAACTCAGGGACATAATTTGCAAATTTGGAAGTTTTGTCAAGAGTTTCGCCAATTTTATTTGCAATTTTAGACTTGTCAGTAATTAAATTATCACCATCTTTAAGATGGTGAACAGCAGATTTTGAACCTTTGCCTTTAATTCTTTGAACCATGTTCCATACCTTAGACATTGGCGTGCGTGAATTAATTTTTGAGACAGAATTTTTCCTAGATGTCGTTTGTTTTGTTTCAAGGTACGATGCGCCTTTGCATTGAGTATTTTAAATTTATTTAAGTTATGGACAGTTGGATGATGGCGGAAATAACGCTCTGCCTTTTTCCTCGATTTTCTGGCTTGTCTACAATCTGTAGTAAACCATGGTTTTCGTACATGTGGAGTCGTAGAGGAGTTTGGTATACACTCATCAGCTATTTGCTTTCAAACGTCAGCAAAAGTTTGAATGGGATCAGTTATATCACGGAAACATTCTGGTCGCAGTTTCGATTTACATATAGTTTGATATAAAGACCAGTTAGCCTTCAAAAAGTTCAATCTTGTATACGATGGAGTGAATGAGTGAGTTATTTCTGAAAGGATAGTTGGGAAGTGGTCACTTCCACAAAGGTCATTATTAACAGACCAATCAAATTCATTCAGGAGGTTAGAATCTGCAAGAGACAAATCCAGAGAAGAATAAGTGCCAGTTGCAGGATGCAGATAGGTGCTGGAATCATCATTAAATATGCCCAGGTCATTATTGGAAATAAATCTTCCAGTATTTTGCCTTTAGTATTAGTGTTAGTACTGCCCTAGAGTGGGTTGTGACCGTTTAGGTCACCCATAATAACACATGGCTTATGGAGTTGAGTTGGGATTGAAGATCAGTCAGCTGAAGGGTCGATGAAGGCGGAATATACAGAGAGCATTACGTAAATGCTACACCCAGAGTTAGTCGCACTGCAACAGCTTGGAGATTAGTGTTAAGTATAACAGGGCTGTGAATAACATCCTGTCGTATAAGGATAGCACAACCTCCAGTGGCTCTATAACCTGGAGGGGAAGAATAATGATACGTTTCAAACCGACGGAAGTTAAAATTATCTGTCTTTTTCAGATACGTCTCTTGCAGACAGAACGCTGATGGTGTTAAATCCTGGATTAATAGCTGTATTTCATTAAAATTTGTCCGGAGTCCTTTACAGTTCCACTGCGCGATATTGTTATATAGACCCATCTTTGAGGCGGATTAATTGGGTATCTAGGGCGACAAGCTATGTGCCCTAGAATGGACGTTTTCGGACACGTCCATGTCCTCAAGTGATCCGTATTTGTTAAATAATTTGATTTTTTCATCTGACCCTTTTGGGGCTCTGCAACTTTGTTTTTTCCAAGAATCTGGCTTCGGTTTGTTTTTGCTTTTGACGATTTGCTGAACATTTCTGGTAGACTGAGTCATTTGAGATGCCTGAGAAGATGTGTCACGTTCAGAAGATGGTTCTGATTGGGTTTGGGTCGTGTCAGGAAGACTTAATGGTTCCCCAGTTTGTGTTGACATTGCAGGTGATAAGATATCAGGAGACTCGGTTTTGAACCATGTCAAGTTCGTCTGACAGCTTGCAGAGGACTTGATCTTTCATTTCTGAAACAATGTCAAGTTCGGACATGTCAGTGAACAACCCATCTCCGTCTCTAACGACTCCTTTACTGGTGTTAAGTGATCTATGAGGAGAGACAGATACCGGAATGCCGACGAATGTTTCAGTAGAAATCAGGTTAGCTGCCTGTTGCCTTTTGCTGCACTCAATGAGCAATGACCCGGAACGCAAAAGTTTAATGTTTTTCACATCACCGGCTATGCCTTGTATGCCTTTTTTTGTACCGCAAAAGGATTCAACTTCAATCTTGAGTTATCTTGAGTCTCCATCACTAAGAAACGTGGCCAGTAGTCAATTGATTTGGGCTGTCGATGGTCATCATCATCAGGATCAGTATCAAGAGGACGTTTTGGTTTTTTTAGGGGAGTTTCGTAAGCCATGGTTAGTATTTTAAAGATTCATCGTCCGACTCACCCACCACAGAGTATCATGAAGACAATGCCAAACTCAAGTGGGTCTCCAACTTGCAGCACCAAGGATACCCGGATGATATACTCCAGCAGAAGAATTAAAAGATTAATAATTACACCAGATTGGCCCATGAGCCACCGCCTTCTGGGCATAAGACTCTAGGCAAAGTTCATAACATTATATTTCAAAATGACAAACGTTTTAGATTAACAAGTAGGCCAAGACCGAAATTAAAACAATTCCAAATCAAATTTGTGCAATGACATATATATATATGCTAGGCACATAAAGAAACTGTGCATACAAAAATTTAAAATCTAAATTTATCAAACCTGTGTAGACACATAAGGATTTAAACTCAGAGATTAGTGACATGTATCCAACATGCATGCACGTGCCACGTTCCGTGACGTCAGTGGGTTCGTCCTTGAGACGTGCAATACGTTGTTGCACGTGCATTCCGGGAAAGAGAAACAGAGCAAATGAATGCCACACAATACTGTCACTTTGGAAAGCTCAACCCCTGCCCTTGCGATCGTTCAAAAAATTAAACGGCTATTGAAACGCATAGCATGCCAAGGCTCACGTCTGCACAACGTCATGAGGCCATTGGGATGGTCCGTGGGGGAATGTCTCAACGACAAGTGGCTGCACATTTCCACTGCCACTGGAACACCATTTCTGCACTGGTGAGACGCTACCAGAACACAAATGACGTCATCGATCGGCCACGTTCCGGACGTCCACGTGTAACAACGCCAAGATATGACAGATGGATAAGGGTGACCCATCTTCGCCACAGGTTTCAGACTGCAATGATGACTGCCCGAACTATCCCAGGACTGCGCCGTATCCGCCCCAACACAGTTCGACAACGTTTACGTCATCACGGGATCAGACCACGACGTCCTGCCATACGGCCTATCCTGACACAACATCATCGACAAGCTCGCCGAATGTGGTGCCGAAATCATGTCCGCAGACTGTTTTGGTGGAGAAATGTTGTTTTTACAGATGAGTCCAGGTGTAACATTTCCTATAGTGATGGACGTCAGCGTGCCTATAGAGGCGTGGGAGAACGTTATGCACAGGCCTGTGTCTTGGAGAGGAATCGCTTCGGTGTTGGTTCCGTGATGATTTGGGGTGGAATAACAGCACGCCAAAGAACTCCTTTGGTGATTGTTCAGGGCAACTTAACTGGTGTGGGCTACAGGGATCAGATTCTTCGACCTGTGGCAATTCCTCTTCTGCAACGTCATGGCCCTGGGTTCACATTCCAACAGGACAATGCCCGCCCCCATACGGCAAGGGTTGCTATGGATTTCTTGCAACACCACAACGTTGACTTACTGCCTTGGTCTGCAAATTCACCGGATCACTTCCCGATAGAGCATGTTTGGGACGAGATGGATCGACGTCTACGTCGTCTTCATCATCCTCCAGATACCGTCCTTGACGTTGCAACAGAACTTGAGAGAATCTGGCGTGACATCCCACAAGCCTTCCTTGCACGTTTGATAGGCTCACAGGGGCGCAACCCACGGCAAACGGGTTGGTAGACCAAATATACCCCCGGGTCAACAACGGGGGGTTGAAGAGTGCTTAGCGTTACTCAGCACCCACCACGAGGAGGTGGCTCTTCACGGGTGCCTATTATAATATGTATTACCCTACCTCAGATATTAGCAACTCATCTCCGCAGGTCTCAAAGTCGTTGGTCCTTTCACGAAACTCTCACAGAATTTTATTGGCTATATCTTTCAAAAGGATGCAGTCTGGAATCACTTCACCAGATCAGAAAGTATGAAGAAACAGAAAGTCTGACACGAGTGCAGTGTTTGCCCTTAACCCTAAAAAGCCGCAGGTCCTATATAAGGACCCAGAACCATAAAAAGTTGTGGGTCCTGATCAGAATGTGTAGGCTCTATGTTTTAATATGGAAATAATACTCTTAGTTAGTGGGGATGAAAAATCTGTCGGCACTGCAGCAAACAAAAGCTGTGGGTCTGAGTGGTTTTCTGACGTTAATTTCGATATAACATGTTATTATTATTATTATTATTCAAAGACCAGTATCAGCAAGATTAGGCATTTATTTTCTCACCCTCCAATCCAATTAAACGGCAAAGGCATCTTATTCTTTTCGAATTTGAGACTCCTAGAGATCCGTGTTAGAACTGGTCTTCAGCAACCCACGATTGTCGTAAGAGGTGACTAACGGGATCGGGTATCCCATTTGCCCATGGTGAATCACTGGACAGTCTGGTCGAGAATCAATTATTCATATACATGTAGCTGGAATATTGCTGAGCTCCACGTTAACAACGAACAAAACATACATGTTCTTTCGACCTACCACATTATCCATACACCCTCATGAGCGTTATATCCATGTACACTTTGGTTGCTCAAAATATGTAGCAGGGCTATATCTTCTATCTAACTTATCTTCTATTACGTAGTACAACATTACACACAATTATATAATTCTCTATTAAAGCATAAACGTTTCAAAGTTAGAGGTAACATATCAAAAGGGATATAACCAGCATATTATTACATTGTAAATTAAATTTACAGATATTTTTTTTTCTCAACGGAAAATCGTTCCTCGTCAATCTCAACACCCTCATACTTGGCAATTTCCCCATCTCTCTTGCTCTGGACAAACCATGTCATCAGTTCTTTCCCTAAAGCATCACACAATTCCTCATCTTTTTGCAGTTCATCCAGAGCTTCACTCAGAGAAAAGGGAAGTAATTCACTGTGTTCTGTTTTCCCTGGGGGTGGGCACTCCATCTTCTTGATGACCCCATCCAGTCCAGCAGCAATAGTAGATGCAGCCACGAGATATACGTTGCTCTTTGAGCTTGGAAGTCTGTTTTCAATGTATGTTTTTAAAGGACCGTTGTTCTTGGCGCAGATACAAGCAGTTCGATCTTCTCTTCCCCAGTTGACTGACGAACAAAAAAGAAACTTGCCAATGTTCCTATAACAGTTGGCGGTAGGGTTTGTGAATGCGCAGAGAGCTTTACTATTCTTCAGGGCACCAACAATAAACTGTTTGGCAATAACAGACAATTTGTCTGCAGCATCAGCATCGTAGAATACGTTTTCTCCCGACTTAGTCCAGAGAGAAAAATTGAAATGTTTGGTTCCCCCTACTTCACTGTCTGAAAGATGGGACATGAAGGTGACTGTAAAACCGCACAGATCCGCCATTTCTAGGAGGCCTTCCTGAAGATTGAAGGCCATATCGAGATTCGAGATTCCATACTTAGGTTTCGTTACAGCTTCAAACATCCCACTGGCACATTCAGAATCAAAGTATCTTTCAACATCAATCTTGGAATCTTGAAAGTTCTTTATCAAAGTGAAAAATGATTTTGTTGTGTTTGTTCATTAGCCTATGGCGGTATGCGTCAGCACTATCAAAAACTTGCTTCAAGGTTTCATCGAGGATTGTAAATTCAATTTCATGGCCAGAATACAAATCAAACCCAAGATCTTCTAACCTCTGAAATTGTTTCCTTGCAACATATCGAGGACAAGCTAGCTGAGGGGTGTTGTCTTTCAGCCACTTAGATTCGCATATCATTTCCAACCTAAACCTGTTGACACTGGACATGGTGAGACAGAACATTCAGATGTTGGTCCAGTACTAATATCGAACGATCTTCAGGTTAGAGAACCACGACGTTCGCAGAGAATCAGAAAACATCCTGAACGATTTCACGACTGTCTTGAAATGAACTTTGAACTGTCATCGAATATATCTGAATGACTGAAAGCACTGAGAACTAGTTTACTCTTAAATTTTCTGTATAATATGTGTATAATATATCAGGAAATCAATTCTTTGATATTGGGCTGGTGCTATTTGATATAGCATTATTTCGTAAATATCTTGTCATTGGTGAATTGAATGTTTGGTGTTATTTGATATTGCATTATTTTGTAAATATCTTGTCATTTGTGAATTGAATGTTTGGTGTTATTTGATATTGCATTATTTTGTAAATATTTTGTCATTGGTGAATTGAATGAAAGTATGTTCACTGTATCAGGTATCTAGTAAGAGTAAACAAATATATGTATTAATACAACATTTGTTGATAATATGAAAATACATAACATTTGTAGAACTTAACATTTTACAGTTGTTGAGGGAATGATCAGAACCAGCTCGTTTGTGAAGCGTGTGAATGATTAAACATGGGAGGAATGTGGCGTAGTAATATTATACATCATGTGATGTAATGTGATGTAGTGTGCATGTGCGTGGCGTATCGGATGCTCTGGCACTCGGGAAGTAAAAGGCTTAGCGTAAACACTTAGTTGTGTCGTCTCTTCTCCTGGGAACAGCAAGTCATGCAGTGAAGGACCCATAGAACACTACAACATCCAATGTAATTATCAAAATAATGGGTTTTGAAAAGTAATATAGGTGGACAAGTAATTGAAAAGAACTGAACGTGCTTCATTTACATCAATCAAGTCATTATACAGTTCAATGCTTTCACATAATTACTGAATGCATTACTTAAAAGTAGGGTATTAAAAAGTGATTAAAACGTTCGCTCGTCATGCCGAAAACCAAGGTTCGATTTTCCACATGGGTACAAGGCGTGAAACCTATTTTTGGTGTCCCCAGCCGTGACATTGCTGGAATATTGCTAAGGGTGGCGTAAAAGTAAACTCACTGACTCTAAAAAAGGGGCTGGAATTGGGGGTTTTCAACCCATATTGTCGTATGAGGCAACTATGATTGTCCTTGGAAACAAATTATGGGATCAGACCACGTATTTCACCTCTTCCGTGACTTTTGTCCTCGTAGTGATACTATGAACACATTACGAGTGAGCAAGTTAATATTTAACGTCACATCGGCAATATCTCAGCCATATTGTGACGAAAACAATTTATACAATAAAAAATGGAAACGTTTTGAAGAGAAAAACCTGTCGGCGATGGACAGTAAAATACTGGAGTATCACAGATATGAATATAAAACTAGCATGTAAAACTAAGACATTTTAATTAAAGAAGAAAATACAATAATAAACATGGGCTGCAGATCGCCAACAACTGAAGGTAGACCACCATACTATGAACCATGGGGACCTAGATTACTTTTGCGACCTGCATGGACCCTAGCTGGATTTACACCATCCCTTCAGCCTTTGGTGCTGGTAAGAAGATTTAACCGACATTTAAAATAACAAAAATACTAAGATTAAAAGGTATGGTTGAGCGAAATTGACTTTGAAAGTTTTTGGGACTTACGAACCCTCTCAGGAGAACAATACTTTTACGATGCTTTAACCCCCTTTGAGGATACAGCCACTAACAATCGCAGTTGCTAATTCATACTACCATTTATAAAATAACATTTATCTATTTACAAAACATATTGTTCAAATTTATCCAAAAATTCTATTTTATTTCTTTTGAAAAACCAATTATTAAATGATCATTTACATTTTTTAAAGATCGAACAAGTATATATGGATGACAACTTCTTTATTTGAGATACGACATCGCTTCGACAGTTCTGTATCGTTTTCAAGTAAGAAACCTGTATCGACACGTCGTGCTCTAGAATAAAATAAGTCATCCATATATACTTGTTCTCTTCAACTTGCCACTCAAAGAAGTCATGAACAAGATCTTTAAGTGTTTTCAGACTAAAATATTTATCCCTTGTGATTGAACACATTACGACAAACACAGAGATATATATAAAGTTGTAGAATAAACCACATATCGTTTATCAAACATTCAGAGCTACAGATAAGCTGCGTATCTGTGTAAATTTATGTGACTCAATTTCTATAAGGTCAATTACGTACAAGTACGCTTGAATTTTTGTAAATACTCAATAAATGTGATCTTACATTCGTACACACAAAAATGTAAAATCTTAGCTTGCGTACCCGTGGACTGATAAAATGACTGAGGTTACTGAGAGGTTTTATTTCAGGACACGAACTTGACGACTTAATGAGATCAAATATAAATAACAAAAACATTAACAGTTAAACTTTATAACATTTTCAAAATCAATAGAAAATGGTAAAATATCCAATTGAGTTTGATTGAGGTGATATTTGGTTACTTAAAGAAAAATTAAGATACCCAGTTGAGATGAACACAAGTGCGTACATAATTGACATGCATCGATTTTAAATAACTGTTTGATGTAATTGAATACCAACATGTCTGCACTGATGTACCTGCTGAACCAAATGTTCCTCATTAATATCAACCATGGCCAAAATAACTTTTAAATATGCTAACATCAAGCGGTTAGAAACTGTTTAGATAAGGTACGATCATAATCACAAAAACAATACAAAGTTTACACATTCACGTAAAACTTGATTAATAATTGGTCTGTGACATGAGATGTATTGAGGCGGATCTCCTTCTTTGGATAAAAGAATGTGTATAATAAATGTGTCCTATTCGTAATCGCCGCATTATAACTTGATATTATCCAGTTTCGTTCAATGGAATGGTGGATTTGAGTGAAGCTTAGATATACTCTGCAGTGAAACTCGTTAACTTTAAACATGGTCAATTTGCTTTAACACATAAGCTATCGATATGCATGGGACGTTCGAACATAGTCTGATACTTTCATTATGAATTGTAGTGCTATAACGATGCATCGAACTATTGATGGATTGCAATTGTTGAGTCTCCGATAGAAATTTATCGATAGTAGACACGAAAAACTGTCGATGCATCGATAGTTTAGAAATTGACGTCCGTATCGATGAAAAGGCTATGAAAAAATTCTATCCACCCGTTCTCGGATTTATCTATAGGAAACCCAGCTAACATCGCGTTAAAGCAAGAAAACCAGGCCCATTTAAGGCATTCCGGAACTGGGCCTGTACTATTTTGCACATTGGCGTTGAACTGGGCCAGTACAGGCAAAGAAGTATGGCCCAGTACACAGCCCTAACGGTCACAAATTGGCCCTTTACAGTTTGGCCGGCACTAGCCCGGTTATGTTTAATACAGTTTTTACTATTTAAAAGAAGCTGATACGAAAACAAACTATGAAATAGAAAAAAGCAAGAAAACACAAGTGTATCCATAAGAGTTTAATTCATGAAAATAGATGAAAACTTGATGCGTCATTCTTTCATTGATTCAGAGTCCCTTGTCCTTCTGGATCATCTTGTTCAACAGAAGTTTCAAAATTCAATTCACAAGAATACAGTCTCTTTTTAAAGTATTTTCAAATTTGATTTACTATTCAATCTTTCGATTTGTTCAGTATGACATGATTATCAAACAATACTATAATATAGTCCATATTTTGAATTTATGTTTTTGAATGAGGCATGTCAACAGGTTTTCCATGATCTAACAACATGCCATACATACTGAATGTTTCAAAATGTCCTTGTTCCTGCGAAATTCATACTGCATGTTATTGTTCAAATTTTAGCTCAACACTTAACCTTAGTTGAAAAAGTAGTCTGTATAAGTGATTCACAACAAATACTGTTACATTTTAGTGTCACTGTGATTAAGGCAATTTTCATTCATAAATGTGGGAAATGCCACACTCTACCCTTTGGCCACCACTCTTGAGCAGACGACATGGTCCTGAGATAATCCCTCACAATTCACCAGACAGGAAGTGCACCGCCTGTACTGGGCCAGTACTGGGCCGGAACAGTATTGTGGTGCAGTATTTACGGTTACCACCCATATGCATTCTCTTCCCACAGAGGTTATTCCTGTCATATCTTCCCACGTAACCTCTGTTCTAATACGGCCCTTTCATGGTGTGAGCGTTCAAGACTCGTGATTGGAGGCAATCAGATTTAGATGTGCAATCAGCGACGTTGTTTCAAAAGTGATCATTCGCAAGGCCTCGGTAATTTCCGTATGCTTCGAGAAAAACTAAATTTCTTCCCCTGCGCGATGCACAAACGTTTCTTCTAGACAGAACTCAGTCATGTTATGGCGGATCAGTGGCGTCTCCATCGCCCTCGTTGACAACGGACAAGCTAGCCATTAAACGTCTTTTGTGTAACATCAACACAATTCCCCGGCAGATGGGGGATATTTGTGGCCCCACATTTGCTTGTGTTAGTCAAGTTGAATCTTAGTCGATGTAACACGTGGATAGAAAGAAGGGAGATAATTCGTGTTGCAATCTTTTGCCGCTAGGGGATTTTACGAGAACCGGGAAATATGGCCGTATTAGAACAGAGGTTCGTAGGAAGATA